TTGAACCTGTTAATAAAAAATTTTCCAATTTTGGTATTGATACAAACAAGTTGAGGTTAATTTAGTTCATAAATTATTGTCAGACTTCATATATATTATATAACCTCAAATTCTAAGACAGAATTTATGATAATTTATGTATGGGAGAAGGCGGAATTCCCTCTGGCGTCACTGGAAGCCCTGCTCAGTATGGAGACGGAGGTAGGCCTCTGGCACTGCTTCTTAGTCAGGAAAGGCTTCTCCAGCCTGTAATTAGCCCAACATCACCTTGCCATAACTTCCTGAAATGGTACTGCCCAGGTTCTCTTCCTTGGCTTCCCAGAAATCTAGAGATCAACAGAGGCACCATGCAGCAATGAGTGGAATAAAGAGGTCATTGGCCCAGGCAGCACTGAAACTAAGCTAGCACTTAGTTTCTGGTCCTGCTCTTTGAGAGTGAAGGTCCATGGATTTATTAAAGACATCTGTGACAGGCCAGAGTCGAAAGGAATTGCCTTTTCCTCTCTTCTTTATCTCCCTTTTGTCACTAACCTGACCAGTGTGCCAAATAATCTTAATCCTTTCTCCTCTAGCCTCATTGATTCTCTAATTAGCCCACACTGCTGGTTTCTTGATGGAAAAACTATAAAAACAACTTTCCTCTGTGCATAATTTTATATGTTGTGTTTCTTTTAACAGCAATTATTTTAAATGATTTTAATGTACCTGCAATAGGTTTGCTTATCTAGTATGAAGGAAGGATCCAGTTTATGCTATGAATATCCAGTTATTCCACTGCTATTTATTTCGAGATGCCCCCTTTCCACACTGCTCTGCCTTTGCACAGTTTTCACAAATCAAGGATAAGTGGTTGTTTTTCAGGACGCTTTATTAAACTTCAGCGGTTCACAGATCAACCATGGTTTAATATGGTTTACATCAATATGTGCCCGCAAAGCCTCCTTGCTCATAGGTGGGGTTTTTGGGAGGTGAGGTGATTGTGTCATTGGGACACTATAGCTGACTTCTGTTAGAAGGTAGGTTGTTGTCTAAAGAGCTGGGTTACTGGGGATGTGGCCTGGAAGGATTTATCATCTCGTCAGCAACAACCTTCACTCTCTCTGCTCCCCCATGGCCAAGGCAAGAGCACTGTACTTTTGCCATGCCACACTGTGTTTGAGTAGGCAACTATGGCCTGAAACAGAGGCCACATAAACCTCTCTCCTCCTTTAAGTTGCAGGTGTCAGGTACTGTGTCTCAGCAACAAGAAAGTGAATAAGACAACCACTATGCCTAAATCACAAATGCATTATTACAGTTTTTAGCATTTCTTAGTATCTGGTAGTGTTATTGCTCTTAGCTTTCATTTTTTCCAAAATATCTTGGTGACGTTTGATTATATGTATGCCTTTAAATTTTAGATCCATTGTATCAACCTTACATACTATTTGCATACAAAACCATTTGGGCTCTTAAAATTAACACAGCATCAAACTGTACATTAATTTGGGGAAAAACTAACATATTTACCACATGGAGTCTTCATATTCACAAAATAGCTTATTTAATATCGATATAGGCCTTCATCATTTTATATAAGCTATTTTATGTATTTTCTGTAAATTTTAAAACTTTATTGGTAAATTTATTTATAAGTACTTAATATTTTGGCATGAAATTATGAACTATATTTGTTTTCTCTCCTTTTTGTACTTTCTGTTGCTGCAAGAAACCGAAGTTCCATTTTTGTATACTGATTCCATACCTGGCAACCTCACACATTCTCTTAGGAACTGAAGAGCTTAACTTTATTTCTTTTGGCATTTCTTCATATATTGCCCCATCATATGCTACCCACTGTTCTGATTTAAATGGAGGTGTTCCCCCAAAGCCTCATTGGATCATAGGTTTGGCTTTTGGGAGGAGTTTGGATTATTACTTATAGGTCACTTCTTCTTAGGAGGCAGGACTTACTCAGAAGAGGCAGTTCACTGGGCACACAAGCTGGAAAGGTTTATCTCCTGTCTTGGCTCCTTCCTTCATTTTCCCTCCCTGACTTTCAGCTGCCAGGTGATAAGCTGCTTTTCTCGGTGGCAGGCCCTTCCACCATGCTGCTTCTGCCCTGTAGCCAGCCCTTTATGAACCGAAACCTCTACAAACTTTGTGGCCAAATGAACCACTCCTCCTTTAAATTGAAGTGGCTGTGTAGCGGGTCTCCTGAACACCAAAGATACTCACAGAGGCATAGTTTCATTCTCTCCAATCCTTATGCCTTTTATTGTCTGTACGTTGCCATATTATACTGACTACTCCTTTGTATTGGAATGTTGAAGAGAAACTGATAGCAGGAATACTAGTTTAGTTACTGAACTAATCTTGACTTTTCTTATCAGTAGGGTGTTTGCCATAGAGTGGTCATACATACTCTTTATCTAATTTTATCACTTTTTCATTTGTAAGCTTTTAGTATAGAATGATTTTTAGATTAACTACATATTTATAAAGACAGTGTAGTAAGTTTCATACATTTCGCATCATATCCACCTTGTATTGTATCAACATGCCTTGTTATTGATGATGTTGACTTGATGTTAACTTCTCAGCATTCTCCACAATAGGCAATAATTTTTCCTGTCTCCTACCATGTCTTTGGAAGGAGAGGAGACCTAGAACTTGCCAGTCATCAAATAAGGACTAGAGAGAATCTCACATCCCACATGCAGGTAGTCCCACAAAACCCAGCTCCCCACCTGCTACCAGTCCTGGGAGGCCCTGGGGCAATGTGACCCACTCTGGCATCTCCTGCCTTTTGCCTACAAGGTTACAAAACATGAAGCTCTGTTTCAAAGTAGTCACACTTCAGATAAGGAGAGTGCAGAAGCTCATATCCCATCAGGCATTATCAAGAGGGCAGAAGGATGGGCCAGGGATTTAGCTCAGTGGTTCAGCCACCTGCCTCTCGGAAGCACAAGGTTCTGAGTTTGATCCCCAGTACCAAAAAAAAAAAAAAAAAGAGGGCACAAGGAAGACTGATTGGACATCCCACCCCAGACACAGGGTATCCCCATAAACCCACCCCTGCTGTCAGTCCTGGGGTGCACAGGAAAGTGTGTTCAGGAAGAGGATTTAGGTGCTTCACTTCCTCTTCAGGAGTCTCTGGGAAATAAGGACTTTTACCTGAAGGGGAATATTCACAGGAGGAGAGGGAAATGGTTCAGGCCCTGCCTGGAAGAATATGTTGATTTTTTAAAAGGCTAAAGACTCCCACCCATTTTAGGGGGCCTGAGACCTGTCCTATTCCTGGTAGGCCTTATCAATGCATAGTAGATGGATGTAGTGTTCCTTCTCTTCTACTTGGGTCATCTGAAAGGCAGGGAGGTGAATATTCTGAGAGGAAAGAATTCAATGCATAGAGAAGAACTGCCCAGACAGTGCCAGGAGTTAAGATCAGGAAAATTTGGAAAGATGAATGAAACCTCTGAAGGTGGACAGTGCCCCTCCAGCCTGCGCCCACACGGTCCTGTCACTGCTGTCAGCCCAGGGAAAATCCTGACAATGTCCCTGGGAGCCTATGGAGCTCAGGGGCTGGAAGGCAGCTTCCCAGACTTCCCACCAGGGCACCAGAGGAGCTTGGATTCAGGTTAAGAGAGGGAGGGGACTCAGGCCTTGACATGAATCACAAGAAGAGGAAGACCCACAGAAAACTGCTCACACTATCAGCCAGCCTGGGGAGGTCCCAGGCAGGACAGTCCTGCAAAAGTGCCCTCCCACAGTTGCATTTCTGGGACTCTCAAGAAAAGAGGGCCTTGGTCAGAGGACAGATCATCAGGTCAGCAAAAGGAATGGGTGCAAGCCTTGTCAGGATTAAATGTAAGAGAGCATGCCTACCATCTGAAGCAGAGGACGAGACTCAGCTCCAGTTTGCCTTAGTTGTCAGGCCTGGGAATTACCAGGACATGGAGGTCCCAAAGGGTGCTATAACATTTCTACCTTATAAATCTCCAGAATTAGAAGGCCTGTTCTGAGACCAGTGAATTCAGGTTCAGACAGGGAGGTAGGGCAAGCAGTGCTAGGAACCAAGGCCTGGAATAAGGTAGGACTGAGTTCTTCTACCCCACACAGAAGGGGGCTCCCTAGTAAAGCTCTTCCCTTGGTCAAGCAGAGTTCCTGGATGAGATGTCTCTAAAATTCTATTCCGGGACACTAAGGGGTGTGGCTTCAGACAAGGAAAGGCAGGAGACCTAGAACTGGCCAATCAAATTGCAGAGGACCAATGACCTTCATAGCACCAGGAACTGGGGGCGCCAGCCTTGTCTGCCTCAGCACTTGGCTCCAGGAGGTCCCAGAATAGTCGCGGCTTGTGTAGTTTGCTTAGATACTTGACAAAAGTGTGTGGGACATAAGGATTTCTGGGAGGGGTGTGAACTCGTGTCAGGTACATAGCAGACATTCATCTAGGCAATCATAGAGGCAAGAACCTAAGCAGATGGATTGGGTTCACCTCCTACCAGTTTCACAGCACCTGAGCACTGGAGATGCTGTTAGGCCTAAGAAAGCCTCAGACAGGTTCCTGGAAGGGCAGGTTTCTGAAAGCTTTCTCAAACTTTGAGGGGCGTGGCTTCAAACCAGCAGAAGGAGGAGTCCTAGCAATGGCCAATCAAATTGCAGAGAAGCTAGAACCTCTTCTACGTCCCTTAGTGGGTGCCACCACTGTGGGTGTTTTACCTAGGAGCTACCAGGAAGGATGGGGCTTGCGGAGTTCCTCTATTAGGACAAAAGTGTGAAGGAGATTTATAGCATCCCACCCCTGCCTTGCCCTGTTAGTCCTGGGAAAGTCTAAGGCAGGGCTCCCAAAGGTAATATTTCCTCACTGCTCTGCCTTCAATCCGGGGACTTTGAGAGAGTGTGGCTTCCGAACGGCAGAAGGAGGAGCCCTAGGACTGGCCAATCAGATTATAGAGCACCTAGAGCCCCTCCCACAGTCTATAAGGGGTGCCCACGCTCTCTGCGTTGGCAGTTGTGTGGAGGAGCTCCTGGAAGCGTCCCTGCTTGGGAATTTTCTGTAGTCCTTTGAGGAAAGTGTGAGGGAGGTAAGGCTTTCCGTGAGGGCTGTGCACTCGGGTCAGAAGAAGGAGGACTCCTAGGCCTGGGGCATCTTTAATGGGAGCACTTAAGCATGTGGATTAGGTTCACCTCCCAGCACATTTTTATAGCGCCTTGGCTGTCATGGTCTGATAGCCCTGGGAAAGGCATACTTTCTCACTGCTCTCCCATCTGTTCGGGACCTCTGAGGAGGTGTAGTTTTGGACCACCAGAGGGAAGTGTTCTAGCCAGCAGCATGGGACTCAGCAATTGCCCCCAGGAGCTCCTGGGCTGGTCTCTTGTGAACTTCATTTCCTGGGTGAAAGTGTGAGGAAGATAAGGCTTTCTGTGAAGGATGCGGACTTGATTCAGGAGAGAGAGAATCTTAGGTCTATGCCACCAGTAAGGGGAGGACCTAGCGGTGCATGGTGCACGGTCATGGTGGTGCACACCTGTAATCCAAGCACTGGGAAAGCTGAGGCAGGAGAACTGACATGAGTTTGAAGTCTGCCTGGGTTCCATAGTTCAGGTACAGTCTGAACTACACAGCAAGAGCCTGTGTCAAACAAACAAACAAACAAACAAACAAAAGAGTAGGGTGGAGAAACCTAAGCACATGTATTGATTTTGCCTCCCACCCTAGTTTTACAGCATCCCAGCCCTTCCATACTCTGCTAGTCCTGTGAAAGCCTAAGGCAGGGTTCCTGAATTTATGGTTTTTTGACTTCTAATGGGGGACTCTGAGGGGTGTGGCTTCAAACCAGCAGAGGGAAGAGTCCTAGGACTGCCCGTTTCAAATTGCAGAATATTCAAAGACCCTCTCCCCACTTACAGGTTTTACCAGCACTGTCTGCCTGAGCTGTCTTTCCCAGGAAGAATTGTAGCTCCAGGAAGAGTTGTAGGCTGTCTAATTTCTCTAGTTCCTCAACTCGAGTGTGAAAGAGGTAAGGCTTTCTTTGAGGGCTGTGGACTGCGATCTGCTAACGGAGAATCCTCACACTGAGCAACCATCAAAGGGAGGATCTAAACAGGTGGATAGGATTCATCTCCCACCTCTTATAAAGAGCCCAGGCATATTGTGCCCTGTTAATTCAAACATGGTCTCTGCCTAAGGCCTAAGGCAGGTTTCCTGGATGTGATATTTTCCTACTTTTCTCCCTTCTATCTGTAGACTCTGAAGTGTGTAGTTGCAAATCATCAGAGGGAAAAGTCCTAAGATTGGCCAGTATTCATGCAGAAGAACACCAGTTAGAACTAAGTGCACCACAAGGAGCACCAGCCTCCCCTACTCCCTGCACTTGAACTGGAAAGTTCTAGACAGAGACCATCTTTGAGCCCTTTTCTGGCTTCTGTTTGTGGAGTCTGAGGGAGGTGAAGCTGTTAGAATGCTGGACTTGGATCAACATAGAGAGGAGCCAAGGCCTAGTTGTCAGGAAGGTGAGGACCTTGAGGGAGGACTATATGACCTTCCACACCAGGAAGCTGAGGGTCCAGGCTGGCCCTGCCCTGGCCATGAGTCCTCCAACATTCCAGGAAGGGTTATCAATTTTCTAACTAATGTCTCAGGAAAATGAATGCTTTGACTTGAGGGAAGTACCCTCAGTTCACAGAATAGAGATGGTACAGACACTGTTAAGAGTACATAGGTGTTTTTTGAGGACTGAGGGTAATACTCACCTCAGGACACAGTGAGAGTCCCATGGATTCTTATCAAAATCCTCATATTACCCCTCCAATCCAGTCAGCCTGAGCTGCCACCCTTTCACTTCCAGTTCAGGCTTGTTGGGAAGTGAGGGGCTGAGAGCAGGTCAGTAAGAGAGTGCTCCATTAGCTTCCCAATCTTTGCTGGTGTCCTGTATAAGGCTAAGAAACTAAATCCCTGACTTACCCCTGCTGCCAGGATTAGGAAGACCTGGAGTGAAGTAACCGGGTTTATTGAAACCTTATTTGGTCCCATTGCTCTAAGGGCTATTAATTCATGACAGGTTTGATTCAGCCTAGCTTAGGGATTGGGGAGAAAATGGGTACACTTTGAAACCAGAATGGTGAGTGAAATAAATCAGATACACAAGTTTAAAAAATGTATGTCTTCTCTTATATGAGAAAGACAAAGTATAAATATATCAAAGAGTAAAATAAAAGCTAGATGATAGGAAATGGGGAGATAGATCTTTGGAAAATGGAAATGGGACTTAGAGATGAAGGGAGGGGTAGGGGAAAGGGGATATTAAGAGGACATAAAAAGAAATCAGATGTGCCATGTACATGAACCAACTACCCACCATGAAATATATTCGTGATATACAGCAAACATGTACAATAAAAAAAATTCAAAAAAGAAAAAGTGAAAAACTTGAGTGAACACTGAGGGGACCATTCTCCCCAGAGCTATGAGGATCTCATGGAATCGGATCCTGCTCTGCCTTTCAGCCCTAGTAGTTCCATGGCTGTGCTTATAATCTCTAGCCCTCGAGGCCCCCCGCTCAATTTCTCCTGCAAAGGCTCCAGGAACTGGGAAGTGAAGACTTTATCTGAGCTGCATGTCCAAAGGACAGCATAGCAGAGAAGGCTCACACAGGAAGAGGTGAGGTGAGGTGTACACTCAGAATGTGTACCAAGGCTTCTGCTCCTCCGCCCCACTCCAACTCTTCTACCGGAGCCTCGCACCCTGCCAGTTGGTTGCAACCTGAAGCTCTTCCTAGTTTCATAGGGGATAGGCTGACCAGAAAGACAAGAGTCCTGTGAAACCCTGGGACTTAAAACCAACCTGTCAATTCACCTTTGTCAGAGCCATCATGCTTGAGTTTTTCAGCTGAAATATTCACTGTCTTTCTCCCCAGCTCCATGGGATCCGTCACTTACTGCAGTCTCTCTTGCCTGTTGCCTCCAACAAGAGTTATCATGCCTCAGTCTGTAAGATGTTCCCGGCTCACATTTTAGCAAGATGACCAGGAATCAGCTCAATCGGGAACTGATCATGTTCCCATAGTTGAGGAGCAAGAGGGAGATACCTCCTCTACTTCATCATCTTTTTTTCACTCTTCCTTCCCCTCCACTTCCTCTCCCTCCCCTCCCTCCCTTTCGCCCTCTTCTCTAATTACAGGCCCCCTGGAGGAAGAGGAAGTACCCACTGTTATGATGCTGAGTACTCCACAGAGTCTTCCCCAGAGTTCTCCAGGTGTCTGCTCTTCTGCTTTACAGAGCAAGTTAGATGAAGAGTCCAGAAGCCAAGGAGATGAGGATACTTCTGGATCCTTGGTCAAAAATGCACTAGATAAGAAGGTGGCAGAGTTAGTGCAGTTTATGCTCCTCAGATATCAAACAAAGGAGCTTATCACAAAAGCAGATATGCTGAATATTGTCATCCAGGAGTATGAGGAACAATTTCCTGTGATCTTCAGGAAGGCTCATGATTTCACAGAGCTTGTCTTTGGTATTGTTGTGACAGAGCTGGACCCCAATACCCATACCTACATCTCTTACAATATGCTGGATCACAGCTACCAAGGAATGCTGACTGAAAACCAGGCCGCACCCAAGACCAGCCTACTGATATTTGTCCTGGGGATGATCTTCATGAAGGGCAACTGCGTGCCTGAAGACAAGATGTGGGAAGTGCTGAATGCGTTGGAGGTGTATGCTGAAAGGGAGCATTTCATCTATGGTGATCCCAGGGAGCTCATCACCAATGATTGGGTACAAAAAAGATACCTAGTGTACCAGCAGGTACCCAACAGTGATCCTAAAAGCTATGAGTTCCGGTGGGGTCCGAGAGCCCATGCTGAGATCAGGGAGGGAAAACTCCTGGAGTTTTTGGCCAAGCTAAAGGGTATCATCCTTAATTCATTTCCAGCCTGGTGCAAGGATGCTCTGAAAAATATAGGCGACCCCAGGCTGTAATTAATGCAGCAAATGATGCAACAGCCATGACCAGGGCAAGCTCTGATGTCATGTGTAGCAACATTTCTGGAGGTCTGTGTCCAATTTTCCATTGTTTGAAGAGGGCAGTAGTTTCTAAATAGTGGTGGGCTATGGTGAAGTTGAAGACAGTGCAGTGTTGTTTGTGTTCTTGTTCTATATGAGAGACTAAAAGATTTACCTTTTTGGTGAGAATATGTTTCAAATGACTTTGTTTTCAATAGCAAATTTAATTAGCTTCAGAATCTTAGCTTATGAATATTACCAATGCAGTTATTATTGTTTTTCTAGTCAAAGAACAAAAGGTTGCTGTTTTGTAAAAATAATTTGAGAAAAACTTGCTTTATTTTGTGATCTGCAACAGGACAATGTGGTATTGTAATAAGAACTTTCTTTAAAAAATAAAGAAAAAAAGAAAAGAATTTTATTAAAATTGTTAAAGGTCTCAACAGTTATCATTTTTCTTGTCTAAGAACAAAGTTTGCTGTTTAGTAAAAATAATTTGAGAAAAACTTCTGTTTTCTTTTGTGATGTGCAACAGGGCAATGTGGTATTGTAATAAGAATTTTCTTAACAATGTTAAAGATCTCAGCAGTTATCATTTTTCTTGTCTAAGAACAAAGTTTGCTGTTTTTGTTGTTGTTGTTTTGGGGTTGTTTTGTTTTGTGTGGTACTGGGGATAGAACTCAGGACCTTGTGCTTGTGAGGCAATGCTATTTTGTAAACATAATTTGAGAAAAACTTCAGTTTTATTTTGTGATCTGGAACAGGGCAATGTGGTATTGTAATAAGAATTTTCTTATACTTGTTGAAGATCTCAACAGTTATCATTTTTCTTGTCTAAGAGCAAAGTTTGCTGTTTTGTAAAAATAATTCAAGAAAAAACTTCTGTTTTATTTAGTGATCTGCAACAGGGTAATATGGTATTGTAATAAGGATTTTCTTTAAAATGTTAAAGGTCTCAACAGTTATCATTTTTCTTGTCTAAGAACAAAGTTTGCTGTTTTGTAAAAATAATTTGAGAAAAACTTCTGTTTTCTTTTGTGATGTGCAACAGGGCAATGTGGTATTGTAATAAGAATTTTCTTAAAAATGTTAAAGATCTTAACAGTCATTATCATTTTCTTTGTCTAAGAAGAAAGTTTGGTGTTTTGTAAAAATAATTCAAGAAAAAACTTGTTTTATTTTGTGATCTGGAACAGGGCAATGTGGTATTGTAGTAGGAATTTTCTTAAAATTGTTAATGACCTCAGCAGCAAAATAAAAAAAGTAAAAGACCCTTAATGTTTGCATTTTCTTATTCATTTTAATCTGTAAAATTAAAGATACATACTTGGATTTCCTTGGTTTGTTACAGACAGTTAAATAAATTAAATCATAAAAGAAAACCTCACTGACTTTATTTATTGAACACTATTTGAGCATTTTCTTTTGGGACGGCGCTGTGAAATAGTAGGGATACTAGGACAAACAAGATACACCTCTGCCCCCCCAACCCCACCAAAAAAAGGTAGAGTCTAAGTGTAGCAGTCACATCAGGAAGATGGTAAGTTATCCTTAAGAATGAAAGAAGGAGCGAGGAGGTAAAAGTCCAGATTCAAGAAATCAAGTTTAAATTCCCTGAGCCAAGGTGTTTGGGAGCTTGGAAAATTACAATTTCTTCTCTGCTTAATGTTAGCTTAAGCTGAGTGGTAGCATGGGCCAAAGTAATAGGTGAAAGAAAAGCCTTCTATCAAAAACTCAGCAGTTCTTTTGGATGTACTCTAAATCCGAAGTCTCCACTGGGGCAGGTATGGAAGGTGTCCTGTATTATCCTGCTGTTGCAGTTGAACTTTGTGCACGAAGTAAATGCTCTGTACACAACAGCTGCAAGGACTTCTTGAGAAATCAAATGGTACTTCTTTGAAGTGGTCCCAGAAGCTTCTAGGCTGGCTTTCTTCCCTGACCAGGCCTCCTCTATTGAAAGGAAATTTAATTAAGTTATTTGGGGTATAATTTGGCCAACTTTAAGGAAGGGCTAGAATTTTAATAGAGGATAAATGCATGAAAACACTGGATTGGATGGAATAGCAAGTGGGAAAGTGAAAGTGGCTGGTCTTTGACCTTCACTCTAAAATCTTTGACATGCATCCAGCTGGAGATTCTTTCACAAGTGATTTATACAAGAAAGAACATTTACTGTGTTTAATAAAAGAAGCAGGCTTTTTGCTTGAGTTGATCTTCTGTGACTATTAAGCTACAAAGTCTCTGAGGTGTTGTGGGTAATGAAAACAAATGCTGAGTTTTCCATAAGAGGGTGGTAGAGCATGGCAACAGTATGTTGGAAAGAATTTCCAGTCGTGTCATAGTTAGCAGAGGCTCCCAGGAAAAGATATTTACCATACATCAAAAGGAAAGAGAAAATACTCTTCCTGAAGAGATTATATTGGTTATTGAAAGGACAGTGCAGAAAAGTGTTATTGAGTAAGAAAGGTTGGCTCTTACCTGCTAAGATTTGTAGATTTTTTTAAAAAGTAGGTATGATCCTGTATTAGCAATCACCAGCCGTATAGCTGGCAATAAAAAGAAATGGAAAGATTTTGAGGTGATGTTGGCCTCCACAGAAACTCTTCCAATAATTGAAGTTGGTTATGTTATAAAAATTACAGTTATTTTGTATCAAGTGCTATTGTGGCTTGTATCTAGATGTCCCTCCAAAGCTTCATGTGATTGTAGGTGGGGCTTTTCAGAGGTAGCTGGATCTATGGTAAGTGATGCTAGGATTAAGTGAGTGATGCAGGGATTTAGTATGTGATGTTGAGATTTAGGGTGTGTATTTATTAAATTAGTCCACTGATTGGTCCGGCATAGTTCTGGGTGAGCATAATGAGAAGGCCCACTCTGGGTGTGGGTGACACAACCCAAAGGGCATGTAGTCTGAAAGGAATAAAAGAGACAGACAGGCTGCTGCTGCTGCTGCTGCTTCACTACTTTGTTGCTTTGCTGCCCTCCTGCCTTCTGCCTGCCATGAAGTGTTTCTCCTCTGTGATGCCCTTCTGCCATCCCATTCTGCCTTGGAACCAGCCAACTATAAACTGAAACCTCTACAAACTGTGAGACAAATTAACCTTTCCTCCTTCAACTTTGGATATTTTGTCTCAGGAATGAGAAAAGTAACTAAGACAAGTACCTTATATGTAGTAGCTTATGGGATACACTAAAAGCAACCATCCCCATTTATCTACCCCTTCTCATCCTTGCTCTTTTCAGCAGGAAATGCACTGTTGAGATGGTGTAACTAAAAGACTAAAGTAGCTTGAATCCTTGGGTCATTTGAATGCTGAAACTCACTGTGTAATAATTTACTATAAAATAACAAAATACCATAGACTGGGTGGCTTAAGCAAGAGAAATATATTATCTCACAGTTCTGGAGAATGGAAGTCCAAGGTCAAAATTATTGCTAAATTTGGTTTCTTCTATGACTTCTCTATTTGCCTTTCTCACTAGTTTTTCAGGTAGTGTCCCTTGGTCTGTGTCCTAATCTCTTCTCATAAGGATATCAGTCACATTGAATAAGATCCCCACTCACATAATGTCATTTTGCCTTAATTACCTCTTCAAAGGCCCTAACTTAAACTACAACTACATTCTAGTTACTGGGTGTTAGGGCTTGAACATACGTATTTTAGGTGAAGAAATACACAACACAAATTGATATGTCTCCCACTACCTCAGCAGCTATTATGCATAGTAGCTGCCCTCTTCCTATTGTGCCTTGCCCCTCCCCTGTGTGACATCACGCCAAGATGGTTGCTCCCACCAAAAAACAAACCTTTCTTCCCAGCATGCCCCTGTTCCCCCCTAGAGAGAAACCTAATACTCACTCATCTCCTACCAACTAGTGACATCACCGGCTCCTCCATTCCCTAGTCACTACCTCAACTCAACTCCACCTCAGCTCCTACAAACCCCACCCCAGCCTCTATAAAAGACACTCCCTGCCCCGGCCATATTGCTTTTGTCTCTCCTTTGTGTAGAGACAGTCTGGCAGATCTGTTCCCATAATAAAAGTTTGTTGTGGCCTGGTCTGATTTTGGTTTTTGGCCTTTTTACCTGACACAAATCATGTTACTCTGCCAATTCAAATCAGAACTAATGTGTGCAAAAAAAAAAAAATCCAAAACAAAAAAACAGAACAACTCACTCTCTTCAGCCATTTCAATTTTTAAACTTCAGGGATTTTTTCAGTTCCATTCTCTAACAGTTACTCTGTGGGGCTACTATAGAGTTACACTTTCTATTAATAGGCTTATTTTTGTATTTTACCTACAAAGAAAATAGTGCATATATTTGTGTTGCAAAAATTTTCTAAAATGCATATAAACTTCAATTCTTCCTTTTACAATGTCTCTACAAATTGCTGCCCCTATTCCAAAGTAAGTACAATTAACAATGTGATGTGTATAATTTAAAAGCTGATTTCAGGCTTTTAGAAAGCTAGATGTGCTATTAAACATACGTGTTTTTTAACTATCCAATGGGTAATATAAACATATATATTCTGCCACTTGCCTTTATCATTGTTAACAGTTCAACTGAATCTTCTCACAATTCACACATTGAAGTCAAAGTGTAACATTATTTGAAGATAGGGTCTTTTAGAAACAATTAAGTTAAAATGTTATTAGCATGGACTCTAATTCAATGTAATTAGAATTCAATGTAATTCCTCTTACTGAAAGGGAAAATGGAGTCACAGAGATATGCAGAGGAAAGGCAATGTGAAGAAACCTGGGGCAAAGCCTGCCATCTGCAAGCCCCAGACGCAGATATTTCCCTTAGAGCCCTTAGATGGAATCAACTTGGTCATCATCTTGATATGGGCTACCAGACTCCAGTACTATGAGACAATAAATCTATGTTGAGATAATTTGTTGTAGAAGCCTTAACAAATGAGTATAGCTACTCATTAAAATCAATGTAGGCTCTTTCTGTACCAGCACATTTCTCTCTACATTACTTTTGTAATAACTTTCTAGACTTATATTTATGTGTAATATCAAATTGAACAAATCTCTCCCCTATGGACATATAAGTTGTTCCTCAATTGTTGCTATGATTAGGAGAACTTCAACCAACATTTTTGAACGTAAATTCTTGGGCAAATGCAAGATATTTC